GCTCTGTGCAGTATTTGGAGAGGCAGGGAGAAAGTTCCATTTCTTACCAAAAGTGGAGTTTCTCTCTTCCTGAGATATATCTTTTTGGAAGAGGCCAGCTTTTGGAAGCCACAGTTTAACCTGCCTAAATTTGGTGGTTTGATTAGAGTCTAGCCTGTTTGAATATCGCTGTTTCAGAATAAACTATTTTAATCAGGCCTTTGACAATTTTTAATAAATGGATTTGGGTTCTGCAGAAATATGAAATATGATATGGATACCCAAGTGATTTGTGCCAGGTACGTATGTACTTAAATACTTGAAGAATATCTTGCTCTGTTGTCAACAGCAGGACAGTCTCTGCCTTCAGACTTGATTGACTGATCATGTACTATCAAGTCAGTGTCCACTCCTAGCGGCCACATAAATAGATTCTCCTCATGATGATTCCTCTCTAACATGCTCCTTCAGGTCTTCCAAAGGCACGCCTATCGCCACTAAACACACACACAAGGATATGGGGAAGAGAAAAACAGTTATGCTTTTAAGTTACAGGCTGCTGTTAGCTGAAAATTTGAGGACATAGCTAACGACACCTTTCCCTCTCTCCTTTTAGGTCTCATCAATGATCATAAAAACGTCCATGGGAATGCACCAGTTCCCCCGCCTGCTTCGCAGTCCAGGTGGAGGAATCCTAAACTTCCTGCCTTTCACAACCAAGCTGCCTTCAGTGCTAGATATGGCCAGCAACCCAACTCCAGAGATTTTCTGCCTTGTCAGGGCAATTCAACTGCCTGGAGAAAGAAATACTCCCTTGTCAACATACCACCCAGACCAGCCCTTTCTTCTGCAAGCATTGTCTCTCCTAGGGCTTCTTGGACAACACAGAGCCATGCAAACAGTGAGGTTCCCGCACCACAGCTGATGCTTTCAGAAACAAATACAGTCTCTAGTGCAAAGGCAAATGCTGGGGTGCAGGCTGGCTCGATGGCAGGTAATGCTGTTGGCCCAGGATTCCAGCAGGGCTTTTCAGGAGCAAGAGAGGGACCATCGGCTTCTAGAGGAAGTGTACAAACTGCTACTTGGCCTTTAAATGCTGACTCAAAACAGAACAAAGAGAGATGCACTTCCACCTTGCCCCACTTGCCCCACTGCAAAACCGTTGCTAAGGGTGGGAATAACACACCTGCAGCAGGTCAGAAGAAGCCTATGGCTGCCAAAGCAGTCCACGGGGGGACAGAACTTACCCCCAATCTATGCAGGACTATTAGCGAGAGTGCCGTTACATTGAAATCTGAGCCTCAGCAGCCTCTGGCCTTGCCTGAACACAGGACGGGTTCTCTCCCAGTCCGGAAGAAGCCAGTAGCCCAGGTTTCATATCTGTATAGTTCACAACACCGCCCTGCAGGGACAGACAAGCTCAGCCCCACAAGGGTTGTGGATCTGTCTGCTGGCTGTGCTAATTCTGTTGGGGAAGCATCTTCAAGTGCTGGGGTGAATCTTCCCCAAAACAAGCCCTCCATATCTTTGGTCCAGAAGTCGTCTTCGTTGCCAGCCTCCCTCAAATCTTCCCGGTTCAAGAAAGCAAACTACACGTGGGTAGCAAATCCCGGCAAATCTCCCCGAAGCGTTAAGAGGTGGGCTGTTTCCAGGGCCTCTGAAAACGCAGCCAGGTTTGCTGCCTGTGCAGCCACAGCCCCCAAGTTACAATCAAGGGGAGCAAATCTAGAGTTGGGCGCAGAGCCAAAGAAATCCAATCCACATTCAAAGCTGGTGATTTCCTCCAGCCAGTACAAGTGGAAAGCAGCTAGTCTGAAGCCTGCTCCTTCTACCTCCACATCAGTGTTCACTTGGCAGCGCAAGGAATGTGTTGGGCCTGGAGACCCCCCCTGTGCGGGCGCCGGCACATCCCTCCAAGCTCTGAAGCGTGTCCCTCTTGGACCTGGCAATCGTGGCCACGGTAGCCCAACACCATTCTTTGGAAATACTGGCTTTTTTAATTACAAACCGAGGAGCTGGACTAAAATCATTAAGAGAAAGGGAAGTTCTTGGTAAGTTTTTGATCCTGCTAGGAGGGTAACACTTGTTCCAATCATTTTTTCCCCCCATCCTGGGTATGAAACTGGTTATGAATCATACATTCCATGAAATAGAATTATCATTTTTTTCTGCTGCAAAACTTGCCTTTATGGCTGGGGATGAGGGTTCAACCAGTGCCACAGTTTGGGACCTCAGCAGAGATTAGCCATGCTGGCTAGAGATCATGGGAATTGTTACCTGTTGTGTCTTCCAGTGAATTGGGGGAAGACTGACTCACTGAAAGACAATGCAGTTTTATGAAGATGGTTAAGATAAAGTCAGCCAGCGTGGCTGGAAGAACAACCTTAGGGTTTTGCGATGTGCCAGTTTTGAGGGAGACCTGTGGTTCTCCCTCTCCAGAAGCCTGGAGCCTGGAGGTAATTTGCTACAGGTAGAGTTTGGATGGGCCCATGCTGTTTCAGAATATAGGCACGGGATTATTTAACTTCCCAAACCTATGGATTCTCCAGGCATGCACATTTCAGCATGCTGAATGGAGAATTCTGGGTTTTCTAGTCCAGACATCTGGAGGACCTTCAGATGGGGGAAGATTGGCCTACGTGTCTGAGTGCTTCCCTGTGGCAGAAGCAATGTTTAGAGAACAAGTGTGCCCAGATGATGATCCTGCCTAGGTAGTTTCGTGCTGTGCTGTCATTTTATATCCAGGTAGGATTTGGGTTTTTATTTGGGCACAAATGGCCCTTTGCCTCTGTTGCCTGCGTTATGTACACTGTCTCTTCCACATTGTGTCCTTGTAAACAAGCTTGGGTCTGAGGCACCTGGCAGTGAAGGGTTCTGACAAGCTTTTTGGTTGTCCTTCCAGCTCTCCTGCCAGCGTCTCCGCCATGCTTCTGAAAAGCCGCTATTGCCTCCGGAAACGGAGCTCCCCGCGGGGAAGGTCCTCCCCCACTAGCCGGAGGACTGGGATGAAAGGCCTCGTGCAGATTGGCAAGCACAGATTGCGCCGGTTGCCAGCCTCTCGAGCTCCTGTTCTGGCCAAAGAAGGTAGGGGATGTTTTGAATCGGGCTTATGTGGAGGGTGGCTGGAGTGAGTTGGACGTGCTGCCCTCCATGGTTGAAACTTGAATGATGGCCAGGCAAGCCTGACGTGTGGCAAGAGGCGCCCTGCTGTGGGAATCTTGGGTTGGCTATCTTCGTTCTGCTCCAAGCGCTGCGTGAGGGTTGTCCGACAGCTGCCGCTGCCAAATGATCGGGACGGGTGAGCAGCTTTTCTCCCATCGCCTGGAGGGCTGTGGGTCCCAGGGGGTGCCACAGCCCCTTTTAGTGTTTTAAGCATGGGAATGGGAGTTGGTTGCCTCCCACCTCCAAAAACCCTTGTGATTTTTATTCAAAATCAAGCTGAAAAAATGGCAGCCCAGATTTGGGGGTTGGCAGATTACAGACGGGGGCATATAGAGCCTGTGGCCTGCAGGTTGCTTACTCCCAGTCTAGAACCTGAGCTTGGCTATAAACTCCCGGGACGTGACTCCTCGGCTCAGTTGCCTGCGCTTTTTTCTTCATCTTACCTGCCTTTACCTTGAAGATGAGGAGGACGTGAGAGAGCATGTTCATGCCTTGCGTTAGTTGGAGCACATGTACAATAAAAATGGTAACTCTTATCTACGCTGAGTGTCTTTGTAGATACAGCGAAGGCCCTTGCTCTGCGTCTGCGTCTTGTCTCGGAGTGCCGGTTTTGTCATTTGGCGCTTTTGAGATGTTGACTGTTTCAGAAAGCTGTTTGAAGATCCAGGGGCATGTGCTTCAAAGAAGGATGCACTTACAATTGTTCTGTTGGCTCTTTATCTGGTTTATGCCCTGCGGGTAGATCTGAATTCCTCATAAACAGAATTGTGGGAAACTAGTCTTCTATATGTTTTTTTATCTTTAAATGTGGGGGGGGGGGAATGGCTGGTTATAGAATATTCAGCCTACCAAACTCACATCCCATTAAAACAGCTCAAAGCCCTGTATTTCTGCTTTTCATGTTCGTATTTTCTTTTATAACTAATATTTTGCTCTGTTCCTGGCAAAATGGTTTATGTATGTGACCTACATTTAGTAGGTGTGACTTGTTCCAGCATGTAAGTTCTTGTTTGGGCAGATGTTGGTAGGTTTTGTTGCTGTGACTTCTTGTAACTATGGAAGGATTTCCCAGTAGAGTTTGAGTCAAGCTTTCAGTCCAGATTATTACACAGGATGCAAGAGGAAACGTAAACGCCTTCTCTATCTCTGTAAAGCACTTGCCCTCCTTATAGGCACAAGCACATCCAGCTGTAAAAGAACCCGTGGTCACACGGTGACAGTGTCTTATCTCCTGACCTTTCTGTGGCTGAGAAGCTAGTTCAAACCCGCAGAAGGAAGGGTAAAGGAGCCACACCCACAGCCTTACACTGCCTGCATAATACACTGAATGCTTCCTGATAGGCTACCACACGTATGATGGCAAAACAATAGTATTGCAATGCAGGCCAAGAGGAACACAGGTCTGTTGTGCTGTCTGGTTTTGTGCCACAGACACTGAGAAGAGAGCTTAGTTCGCCTTTCCAGATTGGTGCCCTACCTTTCTGATCAACAGAATAGGCCTCCATCCCCATTCACCAGCCGCATGTGATCTGGGGCAACATGTTCCTTGAGGTGCAGCCCATCTGGAGTGCCCCAAGCAAGAAAAGTCTGCCTTGCAACATTTGAAGTCAAGTGCATCAAAGTCAACTGAGATCAGAGTAAAACTCACATTGTTAGCAAGAGAGAGTTTGCAGTATTGCCCCACCAGCATAACTTTTGTGTGAAAAGCCAGCAATTTTCTAAAATTACAATTCTATAAAAAGTGAGCAGCCTTGCACCCAGAGCCACCAGATAGCCAACCTGATGCATTTGCCCCAAACTTAAATTAGATTAAGACCCTTTTGCTCCTTATTTTATTAATGGAGTCTCAAGCAGCTCTGATTATAATTAGAGCGTACCAAAGCTTTTCATGCATAACAAAGGGTGGCCTAGTGAACGAGCGCAAAAAATCTGCGTCATTCTGTGGCTTCTGTACTATCTTTTTGGACAGGTTGCTGTGAGTGTTGGCCGTGTGGCAGGGGTCTTCGCACCACAAAGGTTCTAGTCCCGTCAGTCACCCTAGAAATTTTTGACCAGCTTATGCAAGATTTGGAGATCTTGCTCTCAAGTACAGAAGGTAGTTGGTGGCAATCCACAAGTTTTAGCCTGCACTTTGAGAGAGGCTTTAAAGGGCCTAGATTTACAAACAAGATCCTCTGAGCCATTTGCAGCACTGTATGTTGCAATTCCATGGCCCCTGGCATGCTGTTACGTGGCCGTTACGTGAGACCCGAACATGCGCTGGCTTCGAAAGGGAATCTCTGAAAGCCGGCATGTGCTCCTTGTATTGGTGCCTGCATTGCATTCGGCGCTGGATCCTGACTGACATTGTGAAGACGTGAATGTTGGCTGCTTTATCCTGCTGGGTGCTGAAAACACCCTAGCTGTTGACTGAAGCCTGGAAGAAAAGGAGCCGGGAGGGTTAATGTTCAGGCTGTGAACCTTTCCTCACCCTTTAAAATCAATGCCATTACATTCCCTCCATGTTCCGAACACCTGTGCTCCCGACACGCATGTCAGCTTCTCAGCGCTTGGGTGTTCAGGGCGAGGCCTGGGGTGGCACCATCATGGCTCCCTCCTGATGATGAGGTCTAGTAGATAATTTGGACGACATGGCCTCTTCTCTGTGCTCTCTCTCTCTCTCGCCCGCCCGCCCTCTCTCTGGGTTGCAGCAGTTAACAGACTGCTAGATGCAGCCCATTCCAGGCCCTTCCTTCCTCCTCCTCCTCCTCCTCCTCCTCTCGACCCGCCGTCACCCCTGCTTCAGCAAGGCTCACGTGACTCCTCCTCCCGCTGACCTGTAGAGGGCAGCCTTGCCCCTTCGGTTTCCCTCGCCCACCTTTTTCTGGTAATTGATTGCCTAATTCGCTCTTTATGTGAAAGAAAGCAGATACCAAGTAATTTGCAGCAATAACCTGCTAATGCTGGGCCAGTATCAAAACTCCCATGTTCATTTCAAGTGGCAGATAAAACACTAATATATAATTATCCTTGCAAATTGGATTGTTTTAAATAACCAAAAGACTATGGCCAGGAGAAAACTATCCCATTTCCCTTGAGTTAGTATAGTGGCATAATTGCTGCGTTCAATCAATTTCCTTGGCATTAGAAATTCCATCACAATCAACATTAAGCTATATTCATTGTGATGGCTAAGAGCCGGGCCATTTCTCCTCTTTTCCTTAACTGGCAAAATTAATCAGGGAAAAGATTTTAAACATTTACCCGTGCGAAAGAGGTCAGCTCTGCCACTATATTGCTCAGCAGATAAGGGGGCTAATAAAAAGAAAATTGAATTACTAATGATCGCCAGGAACTGAGTATATAAAACCTGGCAATCGCCCGCTTCAGGAGGAAAGGAGAATCAATTTTCTTCGGACAAGGTGCACTCATTTTTTATTTTGGCGCATATTATCAGCAATTTAATTTGAAAGCGCATAAACAGGAGGAAACAGTTAGGAAATAATGAGCCTGTAGGTGTAAAGTGCTACAGGATATATGCTGTACACAATTTATTTGGCACAACAGATAATCACTTTAATTGAATTCAAAACTGCATTGTTCAGCAGTGCGGCCGGTCTCTTTTTGCCTGTGGGGATTGCAAAATATTACAAAGGTGCTGTGCGTTTGCGTGTGTCCCTTCTCTGTAATGTCTCCCACAAGGCACAACTCACCCCGCTTCGTTCATGCGTGGAGGTAGGCTGTGGACGGTGTTATAGTTAAAAGGCAGTAGAAGTTTCTGTGAGCTGCAGGATCCTGCCTCTTTGCGGGCAGTCCAGTATCCAGCCATTCCCTTGATTGGTGGCTCTCAGTTCAGGGGGGGCTCCCTTTCCCCTCCGTGCGCCTCCAGCGAGGCGGGCAAGCGCTGAACAGGCTAACTTTCCTGCTGGCTCTGGTGGGCAATGGCCTCTGGACTGTGGCCTCCAGATACTGTGTCCCACGTTCAGGTACCCTTGGATGCCTTTAGGTCTGGCCAGTAGACCATCTCATTGGTCGCTAATCTCAAAATAACTGGGGGGGGGGAATGCGCATGTGCAAGAGAATGAATTGGGAGGGTCTTCCAGGTTGGTTCTGGGTCTTTTTGCTTTCTAACTAGCCTGGTGTGTTGGCTGTCCTGTGTAGTTTGCCAGAATTATAGTCAAAGAACGTGTATGTGTTTGTGTATGCTGAATTAGCAGTAATTTTAATGCGTATCTCTTTCTCCTCTCCTGTCTCTGGACTACATAGATAAACTAGATTGCTCTGTGTCTAGGCTGCTATTAAATCTCTGTTATGTATGCAGATGAAATATAATGGTGCAGCAGCACGCATACATTTTTTAAATCACATTACGTGGTAGGCTCGTGAGATTCAGTTTCGGAAATAAGGGTGCAGAGGACCTGCTTGAAGGGAAGAGGAATGAAAATGCCAAGCGCTGTCAGCGAAAGAGAGGAATCTTTGTGGTTTATCTGTCTGCGCTTCCCAGCCAGAGGCCTTCAGATGTGTTGGAGCAATAAGCCCCTGGTTTCCTAAAGTTGTAGTCACCTCACACCTGGAGGGCCCTTGTGGGGAACTGTCAGAAGTCAGATGATTAGGGCAGGACCCAAATGCAATAAACAAATAGTAAACGTGTACCATTTCCCCAAAAGGCATCACGATGTCATTGTTTAAATGTTGGCTGAGACAGATTAGGCCAGGCCCTGGTTGTCAAGTCCCTATGGCTTTGGGCTTTTTGTGCTAAGGAATTGGTCTTCTGGTCGGCTCTATTCTTCCATGATATATGTTGTTTCCTTTTAATTGTCATTGAGGAGTTGGGCAGCCTCAAAATTGGATTAAATCAATCAATAAATTACGCAGTTTGCGTCATTTGTGAGGCATACAATGTCATTGTGGCCTTCTATGCTAGATTATTCCTGATTTATTAT